GATGAATTCCTTTGTATTCACTCATGAGTCGGCCTCAATCCCGGGTTCTACCATCCATAGCTTTCAACTGGTGCACATTTCCAGGATCTATGCACATGGCAGATCTTTGCTGTGGCCCTTCAGCGAATGAGATACCACTGTTATGGGACTAGAATCTGTCAAACACAGCTATCCAATAAAGGGGCTGATGTGCCGGATATCTATATTAAAGACACTATAAAATACTGAATATATTATTTATATAGGTTATAGCTGTGGTCAAGTATAGGGAATGGGTAAAAGCTTAACTAAAACGTTTGAGAAATTTATGGCCTAGGGCATGATAGTGGGTGCAAAACACACGCATGTATTTTCAATTATGCCCTCACTACGCAACCCTACTACCTGTCTTGCTGATATGACTTGTGTTAAACATCTCTGGAAAATTTAACATGATAAAACAATGAATCAATTGGAAGCTTTTCGTAGTCATTTTGGTGGGACCTGTTCCTTGGGATGCCCCACTATTGTCACTATGTTCCAATCATTTTTGGGCAGTCGATGAGTGCAATTCATTTACAGCAACAGCTTATTATGTGAAGTACGCTTCTTATAATGAAATATCTGATTATATCTATAATTTCAAATGCCTCTAATCCCAGCTTGATTAGGGCTGTTCATTCTCAAACAAGGTTACGGCTCTGAAGACTAACTTGAGAACCCTTCTTCTAAATCGGAGCCACGATTGAAACAGAAATACCCAATTTCCATCTACTAAATCAAGACTGGCAAGCTTATCAATCGAAAAGTCTTACTAGAATGTCAATTCTACAGGTGAGGGCGAAAAGCTCCACAGAAATTCTATGTAAATAATTACTCATTGTAGCTGATCAAAACGATAAGATGTCTCCTCACCTTTGACAATAACCACTTTCATGTCGAATGCCCTACAAAGAACCAAACTTTTGTCCTTTTATGGAAGAGAACATACCCTGATGCTGATTAAAATAGCTAATATCCTACACATGTGATCAAATTCAACTCATAGTACCTCAAATGTCAGGACGAATTTGATCCTTATGTCTCTACGGGCCATTACTATTTGTTTTTATAGTCTCTCTGCTGGTACACAACAATCCAGATTCACAAGACCGCCCATGAACATATTTGAAAGTATGTAACGAAGCTCACCACCTTCTATGCTATCTGGTAGAGTTTTTCGTGGACCAAATCAGACTCTTCCTTCTATTATAGTATGTGGTTTCCAAGAACATCGGCCATTCTATAACCTTTATAAACGTTTTTTGTTCTAGCACAAGCTGACAACTATGGCTAGAGTCCAAGCACTTGTCTATCCAATCACCTTTCAACTATGAACCGCAGTCATCAGCCATTGACATCTTTACTGAAGAGACACTACCTTTAATAGTGCATTTACCAGACCAGAAACGCCCAGGAGAACCTTTTCTCCTCTACTTACATGCACAACAGCATTTGCAGCTACAAAATGGAAGGAAAGAGCACAGTATTTAAGTACACCAGGATAGTTTATTTGGTAACATAGGTATTAGTTAACTCTCTGGAGTTTGGTGTATGGATAGACATAAGCAAATACATTAAATTAAAAGTTTCAAAATCATCACTGTAAAACGAATGAAGGGGGTTTCAAAATGGAACAAATGGTTCAAACGATATTATCACTGTTCTCAGTGTTCTTCTCAGCGTTTGGGCTAGGAGTAGCATCTGTGTTGTTGATGTGATCATCAATCAGAGCTGGCTTTGCTGGTGGGTTTTTGGAAGCATTCGATCTGACTGGTTCTGGAATGTATTGTTGTTCCTCGTTGTAGGTGAATTCACCAATTTCAGCTTGATCAGTTCCGAGCTCCTCCTCATCAGCGTGCAATCTCAATCTCAAGAATGGGATACGATCTTGAACCAAAAGGATGATGGCGGTGACAACACAGGTCCAGCCAATGATGGCACACATACCAGCCAATTGGTAACCAACTTGCTTCCAGTGGTGGTTCAACCAACCACCTGCAATCTCAGTACCATCCAAGGCGGTGACGTAGTCAGCGGCAAAGATACCAGTAAGAACACAACCAACAGAACCACCAACACCGTGCAAAGCGTAGACATCCAAACCGTCATCGATCTTGAGGATGTTCTTCAAGTCGACAGCAAAGTTACAAGCAGTGGCGGTGATGATTCCGATAATCATGGACGCCCAGATTGGAACGAAACCGGCACCTGGGGTGATACCAACAAGACCGGCAATGGCACCGGAACAGAGACCAACTGTAGTCCACTTACCATCGGAACGGAAGTAATCGATGAACATCCAGGTCAAAGCGGCACATGAGGCAGCAACGTTAGTGTTGATGTTAGAGAACCAAGCTCTGATGGTGGTGGTACCGGCAGAACCACCGTTGAAACCAAACCATCCAAACCACAAGAAAACAGTACCCAAGACGACAGATGTAACGGAGTGTGGCTTGTACTTTGGCAATCCCTTACCCGCAACTGGATCGTTTCTCTTACCAAGCACCAAGGCGTAGATCAAGGCACCGTGACCAGAGGTGATATGGACTGGACCACCTCCAGCGTAATCGAGGCCACCGAGCTTGGCTAACCAGCCCTCTGGGTTCCAGGTCCAACAGGCAACCGGGCAGTAGACAATGGTGATCCAGATGAAGAGGAAAACCATCATTGGTCCCAAACGAGCACGCTCACAAGCACCACCAATCATCAAAGATCCAGTGACACAGGCAAACATACCTTGGAAGAAGGCGAAAACGGTATCTGGCAAGGCAGAGACAACAGATGGGGCTCCCAAGACGTTTCTCATACCAATGAACTGCAGGGAACCGAGGAACTCGCCGTAGACGTTGTGGGAGAAAACAAGCGAGTAGCCCCAGAAAAACCACTGGAACGAAACCAGGGACGCAGCCATGAGCGATGCCCAAAGAAGGGACAAGGCGTGCTTCTTTCTTGAGAGACCAGAGTACAAGAGACCGATACCTGGAACCATGATCCAAACCAGGATGGCAGCAACACCAACCCACGCCATGTTGGCAAGGTCGAATTGCGAGTTGAGGTCAACCTCTAGCGAGTTACCACCGGTGCCGACACCAGTGAGACCCGATGGGAGAGACGTAGCTTCGGACATTTCTAGTTTCTTTTGTTATTGAGCTTGAAGGGACAAAAATCTCAAACGTCAATTGATGGGACAGAGGGGAAAAGGGTCTGCAAATCCGTGAAAGACGGTGGTGGAGGGAATTCTTGGTGTTTATATACATATGGCGATCATTGTCCACCGTAGCCACCGGGTTAATGTACTCATGAACAAACCTTCTCATTTTTGTCTTGCTTTTGTTGTTGTCCGATATGATGCAAGAGGGAAAGCTGCGTTATCTTGCGTTTGCACAGGCCAAAAAAGTCGTATGGTAGATCCTTTGTCGGAAGCTTGGGTCCTTTTGATTGGCAAATACCGAAATTGCCTGTGGTTTGAATTAATACGTACATGCGCTCGTACATTCCCACATCGCTATTTCTTGGTATGTAGTTTATTTTGTACAATTGCTCTGGCCCAAGCTGATTGGATGATAGCAGCGTCACGCGAAGATGTTTCCAAGAGCTCTTGTGCCCCTTGGGAGTCTACGCTGAGCTGTCCGGACAAGACATCTCTAAGCCAACCGTTGGACAAACAGAAACGCAATGGCATGTCGCCCAAGAGCTTATTCCAGGGGGCACCCGAGGTCAATTGCCAACGGGCCACTTCTAGAAAGAGGCACCAGCCGCTCTCTGAGGCCCAGATGCGTTTACAACTTTACCGTTCGAGAGATATCTGCCTCGAAACTACACAACGTTAGTCAACTCCGTAAGCATCTCTGTGCTCGACGTACAAATTCTCGGGTCGTATAGCGAAAGTCTCCGGTGGAGGTTTAGCTGTGCAGAAGGCAACTTCAAATTTTCACGAGTTTATCTCCCTTGTTAGGGCCACGGCAGCACGGTTATTGGTGGATTTGACAATCTTTATCAGACTCGTTGGGAAGGAATTAAACACGAAGCGGAGATAAGGCCCTTCCATTGCTCGATGGACGGATTAGGACAAGACCGATAAGAAAAGTTTTCCAGTGCGATGGGGAGACGGCATCAACACGCATAACTCTATTGGTTCTTGATATTTAAGCCTGACCACACCTCTCGACGCGTGACTTGAGACAAGAGCTTTCCTGTGGTAGCCTCACGCTGTGTGTCATGTAACAGGTATCTTTGATAAATTAAGCTCGAACGTTTGCGACTCACACATCGCTTATATAAGCTTTCGATGGTTATGGCATGTGACAGACTGTTGTGTAGTAGGTATTAAATTAGCTACTATATCGCACGTTGGTGGTAAGCAATAACTGGCAGGAGATAACAGGCATGTAGATTAGCTAACTGATAGTAATTTGGGATCTCCAGATACGGCCAGCCTTATTTAAGGAGCAGTAGTCAAGGTACTGCAAGTGTAGTGGTGTTGAGACCTTTTGCGATCAAGGCTGCGACGTTAGCACCAGCTAGCGAGGCAGTTTCCATGGTGGAGATAAACCTCTCAATTCCATTCAAGTACCACAATCCCTCGTCCACTTTGAAAGAGTCAAAAGGCTTTGATATTGGGTCCAGAATTGGGTATGGGAACCACGTCTTCTCAAACCAAATCTTGACGCCAGTAGGGTCCTCAAAGAAATAATCCTTCAAAAAGAGCTCAGAGAGAGGCTTTGCGCTGAACACTTTATAACGAACTCTTTGCTCATCTTCGTCTAGATCAACAATGTTGGCACTGTAGAACGTAACATAAGGGCCCGTTCCGAGGATCGCTTCAGGAACTGTGTCGCCTGATTTGACTTTATATCTGTGATGGTCAATTAAATGGTCAACATCGGACTCAATGTAAGTTACATGTAATTCCCGGTACGTAACATCTTCAAACCCAAACTCTTCAGAGGTCTCAATGCCGGTGAATTGCCATGGAGCCGCAACGATAACCTTGTCAAACGTTTCGTTAGTGCCGTTGTAAGACAAGATCCATAACCCGTCCTCGGTCTTGTTAAGTCCCTGTACTCTTGTGTTCAAAGAAACGTTAGCTCTGGACCACTCTGCCCATTTTTCAAAAATTTGATAGTTACCACCAATGACGCTCATTGCATCTTCTGCAGCCATGGAGATCATCATTCCAAAGGCATGGATTTCGTTCAGGTTCGAGCCATAGTTATTTAAAGTCAACGGCTGAATAAGTTCATACCCCATCCTTGGGTTGAGGCTTCGCTCTTCGTAAAGCTGAGCTGCCGTGATACCCAGATATTGGTTCAATCCACTATCTTCAACTATGTGATTGAGATCAAAAGGAAAGTCCTTGTCATAGAAATACTCCAGAAAAGTTGAAACTGTGGCACTAAGAGTCCTGTAAAGCTTCCATGCAGTGACTCCGTACCTCAATAGAATTGTTAACAAGCTCTTTGTTATACCCAGGTATGTCTTACTGTTGGCCTTGAAAACGAATTCAGTACCGTTCCAAACACCAATTGTACCTTGAAGTGCTTTGTTGTGTTTATTACCCACACCATCCGTGGTCAGCCCAAACTCCTCAACAGCGTTAACCAAGATCTTGTTTGGTGCAACGAAGACACTACCGCCGAGTTCGACACTACTGTTCAACACATCTGGATTTGAACTGGCTTGTTGCTTAGCGGCGTAGTTACCCACTGTTGTTGAGCGACCGCCAATGTAATTGTTTCCGTCGAAGATCTTGATGTCAAAGGCATGCGAGGTATAACGCTGTAAATAGTAAGAGAACGATGTCCCACCAGCACCAGCACCAATGACTGCAATCTTTGGCTTAACGGTATGATACTCCTGAATAGGAGCTGAGACGTCAATGGAATCATGTCGAAAGAGTGGAGGTAGAGCTATAATGACGAGCACTGTGATAAAGACAATGTATAACGATTGGGAAAACATTTCAAGAATTGATCGAGTAATTCTCCTCCAAATGAGCTAGAATGTCCCTATTATTCAGTATTATATATCAACAAAGGAAAGGGGAATCCATTGCTTGACTTTTGATTCAGTCCAGACTTTATTTCACACAGTGGCTCCACCCAGAATCAACTGTGTATAGTGTGGACGGAAATAATGGCAGACTTTCTCCACAACTGACACAGTTTTCATTCTCCGAGATTGATTTGCCATCTTGGTTCATGAAGTGTAACTGAAATACTCCCGTGAAGATTCATTTATACTCAGGAGACATGAGACAAACAAGTTTAATTCCCTTGTAAGGGGTCAAGATTGAATTGACGTTCAAGGCACTCAAGATACCTGGTGTTCTAACATAATACTTTGAAATGTCGTCTCCACCTAGGTCTCTCAATGTGTTTTACCAAATGCCTCAGATTTTTCAACAAAGGCAACTTGGCCGAGTGGTTAAGGCGAAAGATTAGAAATCTTTTGGGTTTACCCGCGCAGGTTCGAATCCTGCAGTTGTCGTTATTTTTTTGTGCTTTTTGACTACGATCACGTGACTAGGAATTCTAAACGTTGAATATGGATTTACCGAAACTAGAAGAACAGTGTATAGGTCGTGGATGTTTGTATTTGCAACGTAGAGTATGTGTATATAACTACCAAAGATCTAAAACATTCCATGTTTTGCTTCGATTTTGATAAGTGTTACGCTAAAGTCTCTCTAGAGAATTTGGGAAGAGGACCGAGTTTCTCCGACCAAATTTCAGCCGGCCCCATAGTATTTCGTACTGCGTACACAGGGCTCCAAGAACATGTCTATCAACTCCAACTCAAAGCTCAGATTTTAGGCCATTGACAACGTTTATCCAATCTTGAAGGCTATCCGTATCAGCCCAGAGCTCTCTTGATTCACTTTTTTCACTTAAAACTGCGTCAATTGCAGCTTTAGCAGCGTCGTAGTACAAGCCTTTATTCACAACGTGAAGCCAATCAGCCCTGTTATTCTCGATGAATCTGAGAACGTTTTCTCTATATGGTGAACCCAACTCGGCATCATCCATCTTATTGATTATCTGAATGTCCTTTAAGCCAAGCAGAAGGATAGTGTAGGCTAAGGTGTAACCACAATCGTCGATCTCGAGGTAGTCGGTCTCGATGGATGCCCTGAACTGCTTGAGGAACTCATCAAGAGGATTCTCCAAGTGAAGAGCACCAGCAAGAGCATCGCATGCCATATCTTCGTCAAAGACGTACACACCAAAAGCACCCATTCTTGTTTAGCGAATGAAATCTTTTGGGAGGCGTTTTAGCACAACAAAAGGTCTGAAATTTCATAAATGTCGACAATTTATCACCTCGCATACCCTTACACATGTCGTGTTAATACTACATTCTACTCATATAGTGAGGCCGCGGTGACGGTGACGGTTGCAATGGACTTCAATTCATCTTTTAATTTCACCAGCTCTCTTCAATTCCATGGCCTTCTTGTAAGGCGGTGAGGTTGGACTCTGTACAGGGTCCAAGCTTACTCTCTTTTCGGTACTATCTATAGTATAAGTTGCATCTGAGTCATAACTGGAAAGATCACCACATGCTATGAATGGTGCCACAGTTCTCTTCTCCTCCTGGTACTCCAAATCCTCTCTCAGCTCGTATCTACCAATGTTTGCACCTTTGAAAAAGTCTTCAGTGGACACATCCGGGTCAAGGGTTGGCTTCCAAGTGGCGCTAGGCTTGTAACCCAAGCACACTATGAACGCCTCCAAGGAGGTACCTCTCGAGGATCGAGGTTTGGCACAAATCACCTTTTCAAAGAGGAACCCGAGTTGTGAATACATCAAATCGATGTCTCTTCCTCTGAAGATCTTTGCAACAAAGGTACCGCCCGGTCTCAAGAGACATGTTGTCAATTGTAGCGCCGCGAGGATGAGCTGGGCTTGAATGTACTCATCCAAGTCGTGTAGCCCAGTGACATCAGGTGCACCGTCAGAACACACGAAATCAGCTGGCTCACCTCCGAAGATCTCCAAGATCTTCGTAAGCGTCATGGGATGGGTAATATCCGCCTGTAAAGTAGTCACACCGTTGATAGGTGACATTGGTTGTAAATCCACTGCAACGATCTTTGGCTCGACATCGGTCGGGGTCTCTTGACGTTTCTCAAAGATCTCGCGAGAGAGCACTTGCGACCATGAGCCTGGCGCAGCACAGAGGTCAACAACACGGTTAACGCCCTTGAAGAGCTGGAACTGGTCATTGAGTTGTAATAGCTTGAAAGCGGATCGTGCCCTCCATCCTTCTTCCTTGGCTTTTCTACACAGGCACAGTTAGTACGTGAAAACCCATACAAATATACCAGCAAACCACCAGAACAACTCACCTATAGTACAAATCTCTTTTATCCTTACTGCTCTTCCCCATTATCTCAGCTTGTCCTGTGAAATGGAGCTTCCCATTGGTTTAAAATGCTCATCGCGCCAGGCCGCCTAAAACAAATTTTCCATCAAAGCTCCTACGAAGCCTCAGCGCAGCGGCACGAGGAAAGCAGAAAAAAAAACAAACACAAAAACCAAAAAGGGTCGGAACTCACCCCGGAAGTCGGGTCTTTGTGTTCGTTGAAAAATTCGTCCGCTGTGAGGGAAATGGGAGGAAACCATTGACACTGCAACGGTGACAGAGAGAGAATCCAAGGCTCATTAACGAGATGTTGAGAAGCTCCATTACCCGCAGTGCACGTTGCTTTGCCACATCACGTCCATCGCTGCGTGGCGCTGTGAAAACAGTGGAGAACCTTGCTGTGAAAGACACCACCACTGTTCCATACGAGCCAAAGGTTCTTTCCCGCGAAGAGGTGCTGGATACCACGAAGACCCCGTTCCCAATCAACGTTGAGCTGAACTACCATGCTCCACTTCGCCATGAGGTCCGTTACGGCGATAAGGTTGCCGAGATCCAATTCAGAGCGTACGATTTCGAGAACTTGGAGTTTCTAGCAGATTTTGCCCAGAGAGCAGCTTACTATTTGGACATCCCAGTGAGCGGTGTGATCCCACTTCCGACTCGTCGTGAGAGATGGACTGTTATTAGAGCTCCGTTTGTGCATGCTAAGTCCAAGGAGAACTTCCTGAGACTTACACATAAGCGTGTGTTAAAGGCATACGACGCCACGCCGGAGGTTATCGACCTTTGGATCTCCTACATTGCAAAGCACTCGAATGCCGGTGTTGGTATTAAGGTGCAAACTTTCCAACGAGAGTCCGTGGAGTTGGTCCAAGAGCTGGATAAGATTGACCTGGGTAAAATCGAACAGTTCAATGGCTCAGTGGAGGGACAAGCTGCAGTTTCGAAGAGAGTGCAAGAGCTTTTGAATGATCCTGTGTTCAAGAGACACATTCCTGAGGAGAAATTGGAGGCACACGATGCTAAGGAGCAGATAGAAGAGAAGCAAAAGTAAATAACAGATATGCGAATCACATGTACATAATCGTTTTCTTTCATTCTGGGTAGTTGCTATACACAAGAAGAGCTGAGAAAGACGTAATGACACTCCTTTAACCGTACATTTCCCACCCTTCCTCCTCCTCCTCATCGTCTTCAGGGAGATCGAATGTCTTTTTGTCGTGTAGGTTTTTTCTACACACTGGGCACGTTGATTGTACCTTTAACCAAGGTGCGATGCATTCCATGTCAAATCGGTGTCTTCCATCACAGGGCAACTCCACCACCAAGGGGTGTGGATCATCGACAAAGTCGTTGGTACAGATCGGACATGTCTGGTCGAGCTTAAGCTTCGTCTTGGGTACTCGTTCCAGAGAGTCTATGAACTCCTGCGGCATGCCCTTGATTTGCCCCTCGGTCCCTGACTGCTGAAAGAGATCCCTCGCAAGAGGCGATTGCGCTAAGGCCAGCGCCACCATCCTCATCTGATCTGTTGACATTTCCATACTCGGATCCACGCTAGCATCTGTAGACTCAAACAGGTCCTGAAGCAACCTTGTGAGTGGAGTGTAACCTTCTCCTTGCGGAGAGGTTTGCTCGCTGGTTGAAGATTCTTGTATATCGTGCTCCTCTAGCCGTCGTTGTTAGATCACACTTGAGCTATTAACAGCTTAGTAGATACGCACCTTGGTAGTTTGACATGGAATGTGTGGTGATGATTTGACCTACAGTGGCTTGTTGTTGCCTACGTAGAAAGATTCAGATAGATTAATGAGAAATTACAAGTTCGGCACTTTTTCACACACACACATTGTGCATAATCATCAACAGATAAACCACTTCAACAGTAGATCCTTAATATTCGTAGTTTTTGAAAGTCTTTTCGAAATCAGCCTCTTTCGCAGGTTTCCTCGTATCCGATTTCACGCGTTTCACCTCGTTGTTATTTGTCTGCTCTTCATTTGTTCTCTTGGTGGTGTTCATACTGTTCTTCGATAACTTCTTCAGGAACTTTGTCACTATGGAACCCACCTTCAACTTTTCTCTATTTGTTGTACCCAGGGACCTCTCCTTACCCCATGTCACCCTAAGGGGTATATTTTCAATCAAGAATAGCCCAGATTGGCCACTTATAGGGCAGCTGATGGATTTCGCAGCGGCTTCGGCGTCCACTCTTCTTGTAAATGTAACGAATGCGCACCGGGCTCCATGCTGACAGTTAACACTCTTCAGCTTGCCAAACTGTTCGAAGAATTCCGTAATCTTGTACTCCGGTAGCGAGTCATCAACGCCAAATATGAACAGAGTCTTCAGCTCCGGGTTCGATGGGGGTTCCAAGGAGCCGTTGAAGGGTAATTTGGACACGATCTTGGAGACGTCTATGTTTTCAATGTGCTGAGGTAAGGTATCACGCTTTTGGGCGTTGGCCGACTTTGATGGCCTGTTACCTTTCACAGCGGCCAGTTTCTCCAAGATCTCCTTCGCTTTATCCCTGTTCGAGGTTACTGCAGCTCCGCCTATGGATTTGAACCGTTCGCTGTTGTTGGCCACGTATAGCTTGGACACTTCGTTCTTAGGCTCACTGGCGCCTTGCACGCCATCAACACCAGCCATCTTCAGCGCGGCATCTCTCAACTGGATTGGTATCCCATAAGTAAGGTCCAACAGACAGCTCTGACAGCAGTTCCTCTGTTTCGCACACGTGAGACATATGATTGTATGCTTGAAAGGGCCATTCTTCACCGGCGCCCACTTGTACACCGTGAATGGCCTGGTACACAGCTTACACTCGAGACCGCCACGCTCTCGAATCATCTGGAGATATGGATTCGGTCCAAGACACGTTTCACACACAGCTGGAACGTCGTCTTTGTTATCGGCTGACATTCTTACCGGGAAGGTTTGTTCTGCTTATTTGGGGTTGTAGAGGCTATGATGATGTTGCGATGGGCATATAAGCTTCAAAAATATACAGCTTATAAGCCAAATGAGGAAAATTCCCAGGTTTGGGAGGAAGAGCATGTTTCTAGGGCATGTTTCTAGGGCATGTTGCAAGGGCACGTTCTAAGGGCCAGTTTCAAGGGAAACGGGGCACCAGATACACGGGTGTTGATTGTTAAAGTCAGTGTATACAGTGAGAGTCACGCAATTGAAGAGCAAATAAGGCACTACAGGTGAATATCTGGAGATGATGATGATTGTGAGGATGCGATATATACATTCAGACTATGCTATTCAACAAGCTATAGAATCCACTAGTTAGTAACTGCCACACATCTTGCAACATAGGCATCCATGCAACAGGGAAGAACCAGATAATCAGGGTTAAAAAGCTAAGATTTATTTCCTCCTGGGTTTTGTCGGATGAAGAAATTCAAGTTGTTGTTGTCAAGTTTTCATCAGCTAAGTGGTTCTTCGCCATGCATTGGCCCTTTGTAGGGAAACTTACACATTCATCGTATACTTCCACAGTGGAGCACACAGTGGAGCACACAGTGGAGCACACAGTGGAGCACACAGTG